GCATACATGTACATACATGCATGCAACCCCTGATATTAATTCCCTTTCAAGGCACACATCTTTATCTCCATCTGCATTTCCATCTCCCATTCCCATGTAGCTTTCCACATCCATTATAACAAACCAAAAGCAAAACCAACCTTCAAACGCTCACCTAGGTACCAACTCATAAACACACCACTAACTCCCATTCGGACTTATACTTCCAAGTAAGTTCCCACCCACAATACACTGTACAGTGTACGCACACCATCATTCTCAAAACCTCAAGCTTCATCTCCGTGCTATCCATAATCCCAGCATCCCAGCATCCCAGCCCAGCACCCCTTATCCACATTTGTCCACTCAATCCATCCACCCAATCCACAATCCACAATCCCATTCATCACGAACCTCGGGAACAAAAAAGAAGCCTGTACTCAGTACTGTAGGTTACTAGGTACTGTACTAATACCAATACCGAAGCCAAGACTCCTCCGTACTAGTATGTCTCGCTAGGATATTATCCCATTCTCTGTTCTGCGTACGTACGGAGTATCACGATTCACGATACGATTCATATGATATATTATACCGGGCCGGGACGGGAAACTTTCGGGGTTTTATGATTTAGGATTTTAGGTATTAGGGGTAAGGGTAAGTGTGAAGAAGGTAAGTATTTCGTATGATCGATCATGATTTATGAAGAAGGTGAATGAATATGTAAGTATGTAAGTATGTAAGAATGTAAGAATGTAAGTGAGTGATGTAATAGGATAATAACTACTTCTATACTTATAGAATCTTCATTCTTTCACTCCATCTCCCATTGCATCTCCATCCAAAAGCTCCACTCTAATTACCTAGGTAGGTAGGTAGGTATACAAAGAAACAAACCATACCTAATTACTCCATAGACATCATCACCACCACATCTTTACTTCCCAAGATCACCACCGATCAAATCATTCTGTCCCAGCTCACCAGTCTGTACAAATTATTTCTTGAAATTGAAATCTATATTATACTAGACTAGGTATTATTATAATATAATATAATATATTTTTTTTATAAAGATTAAGAAATTAAGAATTTGAATTTTAAAGAAATTGAGTCTTGGTTTATTTATTTATTTATTTATTTATTTATTTATTTATTTATTTATTTATTTATTTATTTATTTATTTATTTATTTATTTATTTATTTATTTATTTATTTATTTATTTATTTATCAATATTTGTTAAAGTGAATGGTTCCTGCGTAGCACGTGCACAGGGCACTAGTCCTGTTAGGACTAGATTGAGAAGCTCTCTTACAAAGAGCTTCGCACTTCCGTAGAACTTAGAAGAGAGATTAACCTACAAGACCAATATTACCTCAGTTCTGCCCTATCAGCTTCCCACTATTCCCTGTGTGAGGTCATTCCTTTTAACAATATTTAAGATTTTATCTTGTATAATAGATATATAATATATCATTTTAATATATTATTTTTTAATATAATCTTAAAATATTTATATATCTATTTATCCTTTTATATATTTCTAAAAAAATAATATTATTAAATTTTTTTTTTGGTTTTTTTATTTTTTTACTTTTTACTTTTTAATACTGAGGATATTAAGAATAATAATATTTAATTAGTAAAGAATATTTTTTAATTAATTTTTTATTTAATAAATAATACAATGTTACGTCCAAAACGATTAGTATGTCACATGACCATAAAACATGTGATGGAACGGTGAGGAACGAACGTTCCTAGGAACAACCAGGAACGCTCGTTCCCAGGAACGACGATTCCTAGTTAACCATAGGCACGAAGGACTATATAATCAAGATGGATTTCTTTTGTATAGAGCTTCGTGCTCAAGATCAATCATTTAGTATACTTTACTATTAGTTACGAATAGTATACCATTATTGTCATTACTTAAGTCCCTGCTTGACGCCTAGTTATAAATCACCTCGAGAGCCTAGAGCACTTCCACGTGATCTAGACGGCAAACCTCGTAACATATAAATATAAAATAAATTCAAAAACACTATCAAAATATATATAACGCCTTCCCTCCTTTTTAGAAAATCAAGAATACTCATTTAGTATCTATTCAAATTCTATTCAAAATTCATTCTAGAAAATCTATTCAAAATCTACTCATTCAAAATCCATCAATTTGCACATACTGCATCTTATTACTATTCTATCCTATCCCATCCAACCCATATAATCTATACAACCCATCATCAATCTATCTATCCATCCATCCATATCACTCCCCCACCTCATCCCTCATATTTATATTCATATTCATATTCCTCATCCTCATAAACACAATCCGATACTAAGTACCTGTGTAGCTATTCATACTCTCTACCTCCCATCATCTACTTCTATCTGCATCTCTATCTTCAAAACCTACTCCAACACATCACACCACCCAAATCTATCATTCCCTCATTCCTCATTCCTTCAACATAAAACACAAAACATACAACGAATAACCCTCCAAGAGTCAAGGGAAAAAATACTAATCTTACAAAATAAGGGAGGACGGGGTATTCCAGAGATGAAATGAAAGATAAAAAAAAAGCTATATATTTTAATATATAAGATGCGCGATGATATTGAGTACATGAAGCTCTCCCAAATAACAATAAATACTGTATGTATATCCCGCGTTCTTTCTTACCATAGAATAATACCTCTCTCTCGAGGTCGTAACGATTAGAAATTCTCTTTACCCCAGCAGAAATTGAATCCTATAATATTATCATATCAGCACATTATAATTTTACGAAAAAGAGTACGAAAGGAAGAAGAAAAAAGAAAATACTAACCAGGTTCACTATACATATTACATTTAATATGCAACTGACTACCCAAAACCTTTGGACCACAAAAGAACACACCTGCCTCACTAGGACTATGAATCTTTCTCACACTCTTAAAGATCATATCCCAATTCGGTCTTCCAAAATTCGTTGGAGCTCTCAATCCCGTAATTGCATCACGATCTGCATTTGCATCATTGATCATGATATTTGTCGCATCATCCACCTTAATCTTTGCTGTCAAATATGTGTGAATCTCAATCCGATTATCCATATCTTGAGCTTCGATTGCCAATAAAAGCGAACGGAACCATTCAAATGAACCGAAATCACGACAAATCCAAAAGAAATAAACTTTGCCGAGACGGGTTTTCTTCTGAGGATAATTCATGCGGTACCAAATGGATTTGAGAATAGATGCGAAAGGAGTAACACCAATACCAGCACCACAAAGCATTGCGACTTCGAATTTGAAAACATCCTCAGAGGCGGAACCGAATGGA